ATTCCTTCTTCTCATTCATCTGGCTAATCACTTGCTGTTCTGCTGGGTGTAAATTTCCTTTCAAATCCTGGCAATGCCGAGTCTTTTCTTCTCCTTGCTACTTAATTACCTTTTTCCTGAACCTCCTGGTAGAGTTGTTAAGTAAAGTTAGGTTCTGTAGGTTCCAGTAAGTGCAAATGCTTGTGTTGGCGCAGTTTGGTTTGTCAGGTGTGTGGTAGGTTGGTTCCTACACTGTGTGGAGTAGCCAGCTGTCCTTCCTTAAGACCTGAGTTTAGTTGGCTAGTTAATGGCTGGACTGTAGTACTAGTTCGAGGAATGTCTGGCTAATATAACTAGTAATGGGCTAGCTAATGACTTTGTAGCTGAAGTGGCTCTTTCCATCATTAATGGCTGTGTTTTCTAATTATTTATAGCTCACGTTGACGCCAGCCCAGCAACAGTTATTGCTACAACAGGCGCAGGCACAGTTGCTGGCGGCTGCAGTGCAGCATTCAGCCAGTCAGCAGCACAGCGCTGCTGGTGCCACCATCTCGGCCTCTGCTGCAACGCCGATGACGCAGATCCCTCTATCTCAGCCAATACAGATTGCACAGGTGAGCCTTGAGGCTTGAGAGGGTGGAAAATAAAGAGGTTTGACTACTTGCATCATTCAAATAATATTTTTATTCCTTATTCAGCGAGTTTCTAGAGAACTTGAGTACCGTTAGTCTTTCCTCACGCGTCCTTAGCTGATGAGGTTGAAGTTGCTAGTTTTAGCAAAGCATATGTACCAGGTGCTCATCAGTTCTGCTGGGCTTCTGAGTTTGTTTCAGAATCTGAGCAGATGCTGTATTTTCCTCCTTGTAGTTAGCTTGAGGAAGCAGAAAAAGGGGTATAGAAAGATGCCGATAGAAATTACACTTGTCGAGACCTGTGTGGATGGGAAGGGATACCTACGTATCACAAAGGATGCTTGTTAGATCCAAACAGCAAAATGATAGAGCTGAAGAGAGTCAGTTTGGCTTGACACATTTGTGTGCTATTTTGGCTTGGTGCTTGCCAGGGTTCAGTGACAAAGAATGGGCACTCATGTGTGTCTAGAGAAAACTTGCCAGAATGAGTCTGGTGTCAGAATCTGTCCGGTTTTATGGTCTGCTGCAAAAGACCCATTAATTCTGAATTCTGAAGAACTGCTTGCCGAGGAAGTTCTGCTTACCAGGAGCAGCAAAGATCCTCCTGGGTCTTCCAAGACTGACTTAATTCAGTGTGGAGAATGCAGCGCCGCCGACTCTATGCTTTGCATATATAGTGTGGAAACTCCTTAGACTTCTGGGCAAGAGTAACCGAATGTACAACATGGGCATCTTGAGTACTGCTAGTAGGTGATTGTGTTGCTGACACTGAGGTCCATCTCTCCATAGATGAAGATTCTCAGTACGTAATATTTTAGTTCAAATAGTCTAGCTGTGCGAAGTGTGTTGGGTATGTAATCTGCAATGTTGCGGCTGCTTACAGTGAGCGGGTACTTTAAGACTGTCTAATGCTTTCTGTTCAGTCTATTTTCACTTGCATTCAACTCGGATGAAGTGTCTGAAAAGTGAAGAGACTGATTAAGTTATAGAATGGAATTGTCACAATTGTCTGAGAAGTCCATTGGTGAAACGTGCTATTCCTTTATTGTGCTAGTCCACTAGCTGAATAGGAGCCTTGTTATGCTGTCAGGTTATTTTATTAGTTGAAGCGGGAAACTTCTGTGATGTTGGCCTAAAAGTTTTGACCTTTCTGGTTGTCCTTACAGCAGCCAGAGGGATGCCACTCCACATTAAAAGGCCTGTACTTATGTCACCCACAGACCCCTCACACTGAGCCTCCTAGTGCACTGTGATGAGTCATAGGAACAGATACTAATATTTATTTTACTAAAGGATCCCACTTCACTGTCGTGATCTGGAGATGACTCAAGGATATAACATTCAAGGAAACTTGTAACTCCCAACACAGTCTCTTAACTTTGGTATGCCTTGTCTATAGCCAATAATACAGACAGATTTGATGAAAATAATGGGAAGTGTCGTTGTCACGGAAGTCGATGGTTAGCTTCTAACATCTCTCCATGCATCTGTCACAGAGTCCCCATTGAGTATTATGCGAGTCTTTTAACCTACTTGTGAGTGATCAACAGGTGTGTGCCGCTTGTCTTGCAGGTGTGCAGCTTAAGGTAGTGAGGTCTGCTTTACCGGAGTGCCGAGCACTAAACTTTCATACTAATAAAATCTGTACCTTGAACTTTCTGGCTTTACCTTTGTCAAATATGCCACCAAATTAGTGGATACTTTTGAAGATGGCGGTGTGCATGTGTGATGTCTTGCCAATGCCATTCTTTCACTTCAGTGGGAAGCTATAAAAATGTGTGAAGCATTTACAGTTACTAATTCAGTACTGGGTTTTCTTCCGTAACTTAGAGAATATTCGGAGAAGTGTTTGAGAAGAGGTGAGAAGATCAGGTGTGTGCTGTCAAATAGGAGCTTCTGAAGGGAATGTTGTCTGGTTTGCACTCGTGAATGAGCTAAAGGCTGTGTGAAAAACAGCATGTGAGCATGTAGTTCCCATGATAATATAATGTGTATTTGCAGCACAAGGGGAACAAATTAAAGTGTCACTTGTTTTCTGGCATTCGTAATTACTTAAGTGTTTGACTTTATAATGAGTTTCTTTTAGGATAGATTATTTTGATATATAAATGTGGGTTGGTTGAATCTTGTTAGCCGCTTCTTATGATGAAAGCGCAGGGCGTGATTTGTGCAGGTGTTGGATATAATTTGAGATGCTTTGTGGAAAACTTCTACTGTCTAGGTTTGTAGGCTTTTTGATGCATCTTGACAGTGATTTATAAGCAGTACTCAGCTTTGTTTGCATTGCTATTATAAACATGTAGCTCAGTGTTTGTTTTAATTGATGATTTTTGAATAATTGATTAACTGGCAGGTCTCTGCAGCAGGGGGATTACCGTATTTATTGTAATTAACTAATTGCACAAGCATGGCTTCTTTAATGTGCACTGCAGTTAATGTAAGGTATCTACTGCAGCATTCTGGTAAGATGTTAGTGCTGATGGTAAATTGTCACTAAATAGTTGTACCGAGTTTTGGAGTTCTTTGTCAACTTTACTTGTTTTCAGAATCCATCATCAGTGTTTATATGATGTAAACCTAAAAATGACACAGATGCTTAAGTTCGTACTGACATTGTAACTAGGGATAACAGCTTTGAATTTACAACTTTAGATGATTAAAAAAAAAATCCAACAAACAAAGGAAAAAAAACCAAACCCCAATAAAAACCAACAGAACTTCCTCATGTCAGGATGTAGCACTTCTCTAGGCAGATTATTCTGCCGAGGTAGGAGTTGGATTGTTTTGATCTTTCTAAATTAGGCAGCACCAGAAGACGTGTATTTCCCCACAAATCTTTCCATTCCTTTCTGTGTGCTTGTGCTAGTATACAGATTTTACCACTGAGAAAACAAAGTTCAGTATAGGAAAACAATGTCAGGGGTTGGTCACATGGTTGCTAAGGGGAGATTTATTGCAGTGCTACAATTAACTAAATAATAAAAGTTTCCCAAGGTAGAAATAAAGTTGGATTTCAAATGAGTTTGAGGGGCTGATAGGGCTATTTAAGAGTGATTAGTCGTGGAGGTATCATTTCCATTCTGCATTACACAGTCATATTTCTGTATTTAAACAAGACTCAGCCGAGATAGCATTTACCAAAGCAGGTGCACAGAATAAGATTGCTTATACCAGTTATCCCTGAGGCCTCAATTTAAAAACAGTTTTCTCATATTAAAGTGTAAGAGCCTGATGATAAGAGCTGCCATGTCTTAGCTGGGTACCCTGTGCTATGAATACTATAGTCTTATACAAAAAGCTTTCCTCCTTTGATCTTACAAATGCACTGCCACTGTTTCTTTGTATTCTTTCCTGGATGTAACTCCATCTCCTGTGGTGCTTCTTCAGATCATCTGAGATCTACTTGGTCATCTGGGAGAGGAGGGTTAATTTGTTTGCTTTTGGTGGGGGATGACCTCAACCGGTCTGTTTTTCTGTCCGTAACTTTTCCTTCAAAAATTTCTTCCCAACTCTTGCTTTTGTGTTTCTGCTTTTTTCATAGCTACCTCTGTTTTCATCCTTCACCCTTTCTTCATTTCTTTTTCTTCCACCCAGTGTTCACAGCCTTAAGCAGCTTGCCCTTTCTTTCTATGTCTTCCTCTGCATCTCATCCTTGCATCCGGCTCAGTATGAGCCCCTCTGTGCTGGAGGTTCTGCTCAGTCTGCAAACGTGACCACTAGAGCATTGAAAAGCAGTAAATAAATGAGTGGAGATCCATGTTGCATTAGGCTCGAGAAGTAAGAGTTCTTAGCAGCAGTTCTGACCAATGTAACTTTGACATGAAGTCAGAAGAAACATGGAGTTCCTGAGGAAAAAGTGGAGCAGTTATAGCTCTCTGGTTTGGGGGTTGTTGTTTTTTTTTTAGGAAGGAAGTTGGCGCTGATTTCATAGCAGTGGTTCAGTACTTCTGAAATTTTCTGAAAGCAAACAGTACTATCAACTTTAAAAACACTCTGTTGTGCTGGGGAGCACTTTTAAAAAATTTTACCATACTCTCATAAAATAGAAGTTTTCATTTCTTAAAGAGCATTGCTTGGTCAATCCATCTGGTGTCTGTCTACCATATCATTACACTGCATTCTTTTGACTTAACATGACCAAGTTTCGCAAGTGATTGATGGCCAGTGTCTCTGTAATGCAGGTTAAGTAGTGGTTTTCTTATAATGCATGTCTGTGGTCTCATAAATCAATGGAGTCTTTATTTTCTAGTCTTCCTTTCCGCCCACTGACATTCTCTACCCCTTTTCCCCAGAAGGAAGTTGTTGCAACTTTTAAGTCTTGGTTTAACAGTTTTAAAATAATGTAAGGTCATAGACAGATAACTATATCCTGCAAATAGTTGTACTGTGTAAATGAAAATTATCCTCGTCAGTCTGTCTTGACTTTCCATCACCATCTCCACTGCTGGCAGTTAATGGCCTTTTCCCTCTGCTGGCTGAGCAGCTTGTGTGTGTGCTCCATAACCTGCGTGAGTCAAAATGCGTGGGGGGCTACTTTATGGGCCTTAAGAAGCCCCTCTTTGTTAGTCTGGCTCACTTTAACTGGAGTGTCAGGAAGTATGGTGCAGATGGAGCACTGGTTTAGGAGCGAACCGGTGTTCTTAACATCTTCTGACAGTTGGACCCAGAAGAGGGCGTTTGTCTTTAATCAGGTACCCTGGTATCTGCATAATTTATCTGAAACAGAGTTTTGGGAGGCTTTTTGGTTGATTGATTTGGTCTGTTTAACGGGAGGTTGTACATGTGAGAAATACTTCAGGCTTTTTTATCCGCCTGCTTGGGGATATTTTGAAACAGCTTCTTCTCAGAAAGATGGAAAGATTCTACACATGTCTGTAGATAGTTTTCCTAGATTACCTCTGTTATGTTGGCTGGCTCCACATTGTGCTTCAGTTTTCAAATTTCAGCTACTCTTGTTATTGTCATGCTTGGAGAAAATGAAAAGAAAAAGGCCAGTCTGGGGGGAATATTTTTAAGCCGTTCTCTTACGTTTCCATTCCCCTGCTAAACAGCAAGTTGAAACATTTTTCTTGATGATTCAGTTTCTCCAAGGTTAGCATTTACGTTGAGACCAGTCATTTAATTATAGAAAATTATTAGTTCCAAATGGTTTAAATACATAAAAGTAGGGTTCTACAATAGTGCAGTGTTTGGGATTATTCCTTTTAACCTTAATTATAGCCATGTCTACTAAGCATATCTTAATTTATTTCAGAACTAATCAAACATATTTGTTTACTTATTTGAGTTAGCTACTTCCCCAAATTTGACCTGAACAACCAGAGTGCAAACTAGGAATCTGTAATTTTTTGCTTTCCTGTTGCTGATTAGGATGGTAATTGCAGATTGTTGTTGTTGTTGCTATAAACAAAAATAGCTCCCAGCTAATATGCTTGTTTTGTCAACAATGAATTTTGTAGCAGAGTTGCATCCTCGAAAAATAAGTCTGAGAAATACAGGTGCTAGGTCTAAAGTATTTGAAAACTCCTGCATTTGGGGTGGAGGGAGAGTGAGTTTTATATTTTTAAAGCAGAACAGTGCTGGAAAAATTTTGATGGGTTATTTGGTGATCAATTTCTGTTTGGTTTTATGAAGGACAGTGAAATTGAAATTGCCAGCCTAAAGGATGTTCAGTAGCAGGGCTGCTGTGTTTGACATCCACTTTTATCTCTAAATGTTAGAATGTAACTGGCTGATAGGAAATCTAGTTACATTGGGAGTCATGGCTGACTTAAATGTCTAACACACAGCTCTTTCTTTTCCTTTTTCTTTTTTCTTTCTTTTTTCTTTTTTTTTTTTCTCCCTTCCCCTGTTTCCTTAAGGATTTGCAGCACTTGCAGCAGCTTCAGCAGCAGAATCTCAACCTGCAACAGTTTGTGTTGGTGCATCCAACAACCAACTTGCAGCCAGCACAGTTCATCATCTCACAAACACCGCAGGGGCAGCAGGGTAAGTGCTCCTTGCCAGAAAAGCAAACCATACATAGCTTTTTAGAGGAGGAGGTGAAACTGAGGTGATCCGTACACCTTCACTAACTGTTGATATCCTCTAGGAGAAGTAACAGTATTTCAACTAGGAGACTCTTTAACAGGTTGTCCCTTTCTGGGTGTTAGACCTCAGCCTTGTCAAAGTTTGTGTAGCTCGCTTCTCAAGGAGGATCAATGCAGAGATCATGTCATGGGAACGTTCGTTAACAGCAAGGCCTCTTGGGAAATACTGCAGCATCTGAATTAGTGAGTCAGGCTCTCAGGAAGGAAGCCTTCTGGGAAGAGAACATGGAGAAGACAACTCTCCAGAGCTCAGGCAGAATCCTAGGAGGTGAAGGCCTGGGGGGTGTGTGGGCTGCCTGGATGAGGCCAGTGCTAAAAGGGCTACAGATTTCCGAGACTGGAAAAAGATTACAAAATCAAGAGTCCTTACGGGAGACTAGAAAAGTCCTTAAGCCTAGAGAGGGTACAGTGAATTTTGTCGTAAACTGAAATAACAATTAAACCTTGAGAAAAAAGCTGAAATGCCTGATTTTTGTATAACAACTCTTGGAAATAATAGTTTGGCAGTATACTGAGTATGGCTTATATATTAAAGGCAAACTAAGGCAGTGGTAGGTGGTAGTGTTTCAGAACAGTTAAGATGCTGTACACGAATTTTGCTCTAGGAACAAATGCATTCAAGTTGCAATACATCACAATACTGATTGCACACTGTTTGTTGATGCCCACAGAAAACTGCTTTTGGCCATAGCCTCTTATGCTGATATACTCCAGTGATCTTTTTTCTCCCTCTCTCTTCTACATGGACTCTACTCAGTTGTTCAGGTCTGGTAATCCAAAGATTCTTACTCAGAAGGCAAATCCTGTTATGCTTGAAGAGTCCTCCAGAGCTTGGCTGTCCTATAAAACAGCTCTTTGCACCTCATTTTCTTCTGTTCCTTTCAATTTTTTCATGCATCATTCCTTCTTATTTACTATGACTTGGATAGAACTGGCTTTCCATTATGCTGAAGCTCTCTCTCTGTCTGAATGCTCTTGCATTTGAATAAAGGGTTAGTCAAAATTAACTTTCTTTTAATAGAGCTTGATTTAGGAGAGCTTTTATACCAGCACTGGTAGAAAATGACTAAAAGACTGTTCATGAAGGCACTTAGTGATGTACTAGTTTCTTAAAATGAAGCAGAACTTATAAGCATAACATATTCTTCTAGAAGAAATCAAGCCTCACCAAACTTAACTTCAAGGATTCTCTAAAATAGGCTGTTTGTTTGATTTTTAATAAATTCTTTTAAGAAAACATCAAGCACGAAAGTGTTGTTTTGAAAAACTGATACTAATGTAAGTCAGCATTTTCCAGCTAACTTCTGCTGGTTTTCTAAAAAATCTCTGAAGATGCTTCACAAAGAAGGAAACTATAACAGAAGCAAATTATATTCCTATGCCAAAATGAATTGTTTGTATTATAGAAAGGAAGGAAGGCTTTCTGTTTTAAATCTTCTGAAGTAGAATGAATACCAGAAGAGGTTTTCTTAGTACCACCTTTTCCATGGGCCAGCTCTGAAAATGATTTCTTCACTGCAATTTGAGACCTGTATATTGCTGTTGTCAGTGACACTGTGTGTGTAGAAACACCATGTTTTACCAGTAATGTGCAGCCTGGACAACTCAACAGCTCAAAAATGTAGGAAGATTTATATTCTGTATTCTGACTATAGGCCATTATTGTGTGACAACCTTCCAAACTGAAATGCTTGAATGGATCTAATTTTCTTCATGAGCACTCAATGATAAAGCAACATGTATGTCATAATAACCCTTATCTCCCTTTTGGTATGGCTTTTTGCAGTATTTCATGGTTATTGTTGGAAGATCTCAAACAGTATGTTATCATTTATGAGAAAGATTGAGAAATTGTGTATTTTTGTTTCGTTATTTGCTGTTGCAGCTGGCTTTTCCATGTAGTTCTTGTCCTATTGCTCCATTAGTCAATTTCATAAAATAATAAATATTCTGAAGAAACTAGCATAGAGCTTTCTTGAAAACCAACGGCATTCAGGGTTTTTTGGGTGCTTCATTGATACTGCATGCAATATACATACACACACACACACACACGTGTGTGTATATATGTATGTATGTATATGTGTGTGTGTGTATGTATATGTGTACACACTTAACTAAAATGAAGATTCAGATTTAATTATAGATTATCTGTTCTGGAAGAAATCTGTTGCTTTATAGACTATGCTACGTATTTTGTCCATGCCATGTAGTCATGTACATGAGAAGCACTTTTTTTAGTACAAGAGAGTAGTTTTGAAGGAGATAAATGAAGGATAGTGTCTCTAAGCAAGATCTTAGAAGACGTAAACATTTGGTGGAGAAAAGCTTCTTTTATTTGAAGAGGTGATAGGATGCAGGATAATGCAATCATCAGCAATCATATTTAGATTCTTGGAAGGGGTTGAACATCATGGCTTAGATTCAACTTCTGAAAGATTTTACAAAATTCAGTGTCTAAAGCATTAATCAACAATCAGGATGTTATTCTGCTATCTTTCTTCAACACACCTTATAGATCACAACAGCAGATGTGAAAATCTCCCCATAAATCCACTGCCATGTGTCTAATGTAGTCATCTTCTTTTCAAGATGATTTCTGGTTATTCAGTGGCTTATGTGAAACAAATTGTAAAGTTCCTGGTTTTTATGACTTGCAGTAGGTAGCATCATAACTGAAAGAATTGTTTCAAGTCTCAGTAGCTATGTAGAAGATTGAATGGAAATAGAAATTTGGAACAATTTCTTATTCAGAGCAATTATTGTTCCCATATTGTTATTAAAGTCACAGGCAGGAATGTAGCACCTCGTACAGTCTTTATAGCTCTTGTATTTGTTCTGTTAATTAATAGATCTGTCTCTAGAATAATCAATTCAACATCCCTTACTGCAATTACAGCTGCTTCTTAGAAGTGTAACCCTCATCAGATGACCATTCACCTTTCTGGTCGGAAGGTACTGCCAGTAAAAATGGTATTGGTAAAAATATGAATGGAGAGGGGAAATGGTGCCCCATTTCATTTAAATTAATCTTGCAAAGAAAAGTTAAGATCTGAGAAGAGACTGCATCATTTTCAAGAAGAGAGAGCTGGTTTAGGAACAATACCTATAAAGAAAGTATCCAGAAAGGTAGATGAGGAAGACAAGCTGCTAATTGGCTTGAAACATTGAAACTGGGCTTACCTATTCTCAAGTTACTGCTGTTTATTATTAAAGAGTTTGTTCATGATTTTATTTTTAATTGTAAAAATACCTGGGATGATGATAGCGGGCCAAATCCAGTCCTGTTCTGTTCTTGCATACTTGTCCTACAGACTTTTAGACTTCGTTTGTATCGTTAAAAAACCAAACATAGATATACATTTTTAAAATGAAATAATGAATGTTAAACATTGGTACCTACCCTGCTGGCCTCTGGTACCATAAATCAGAGTGCAGCTCCCTCACCCAGTGTAATGGTGGAAGAAGATGCCTGAAGATGCCTGTGTTTCTTCTCAGAAACATCAAATTCGTAATGGACAAGTGTTCGTCTCATCTGAGACTGTGCACCTGCACTGCCCTTACAGAACTCCTCCTCATTTTGTTAATAAAATGCTGTGTGAACCAGGTGAAAGGGCTCTGGTCCCCTCAGTATGCAGATGAGGAGACCCAGCTCTTCATTGTCAGGAGACTCTTAATGACAGCATATTTGCTGACACAACAGTTGAATAAAATGCGGCTGACTCACTTATTCCACAAATAAGAGGGCAGAGCTTGAAGTGGAGTGAGGAAGAACTTACAAGAAGTGATTTAAGTGGTGAACTTTTCCCCTGTGCTGCAAATACCCATTATCAAGATATAAGTTAAATGCTTAATGTTTACTGTCCTCTTTGAAATCAAGTCTTGGCTTTTAACCATCCCAACAGCATCAATGGGTGACAGTGTTGCCTTTCATTGAAGTAGTGTGACAGCAGCTTTGCACGGATCACTGAATTGGAGCTCTTCAAACCCACAGTTCACCAACTTCAGCCCATTTGTGTCATGTTCTTAACTGATCTTAAAGGGTACCTGGATACTGCCAAAGGTGCAGCAGCATGCAGCAGTTTAACATCTCAGGGAAATGGTTTTGTAGGAATGCATAGATTAGTATTGTCTCTCCTGTGTTGGATCCCAGTGTAATTCCAACTACGAGTCCCGATTTTGAGAGATCTGAATTTGATAAAATGAGGCACACCAAAGTACCCAGAAGTTTCTTTGCATCCACAGTGATCGAAAAAGTTGATCAAATGGCACTGTAATATAATATGTGAGATGACACCCTTCCTTCTTCTCTTTAACTTGTTTCCAGTTAATCAAATTATGACACTGTAATGGCTTTGTCTTGCAAGCTAACTTCCAGGATATGTCTGTGGGAAGATGAATAGCTTTGGCAGAGAAAAAACAGTCGAGTTGTTCTTATAATATGAAAATACTCAGTTTTGGGAGATCAGTTAGGCATGAATTATGTGTTATGCTTCTAGGCCAACTTTTAAAAAATTATGCTGAAAAGATCTGCACTTGAATGTTTGTTTTTTCTTGTTTAATTTTAGACAGTAACAACTGAACCCCAGATCAGTCCTTGGGGACTATTGGCTGGCAGGGGAGTTTTTTTGCTTGTGCCTTTGTACTTGTTCATGCTACTTGTAGACATTACAGGAAAAGTCCTGGATGATGGCAGATGCATTTGCTATTTAACTTAAAAAAAAAAACCCAAACCAAAACCAACCAACCAAACAAAAATCAACAACAAAAATATGCAAACTTCAAAAAACTCTAAAGCATCATACTTTTGCATAAATCCTTAACTACCTCCATGCAGTCGTTCTTTTGGAGCATCACATAAGTGTTTTATATGCCATATTTAATGCAGTAATACTACTGGGCTCTTGGAATCCAAAGCAGAAAGTTAGAAGTATTACCTCTGTGAAGTTATGTTAATTCAAAACATCATGTAGGTTAGGAGGGACCTCTGAAGGCCATATAGTATTGCTCTAAGCAGGTCCAGTTACAGCAGGGTGCTCAGCCCCTTGGCTAGTTGAGTTTTGAACATCTTCAATGATAGAGATTCTGCAGCCTCTTCAAGTATCTGCCCCAACAGTTTGACCACTCTCATGGCAAAGAGAAAAATAATTTGTTTCCTTATATCTAGTTGAAGTTTTCAGTGTTTCAACTTATATCTGTTTCATCTCAATAGTGTGCAGCTTCCAGAAGAGTCCATTTCTGTCTTTGAAGACAGCAATAGGATCTCACCTTGGTCGTCCTATAAGGCTGAACAAACCAGCTCACCTATCTATTCCTTGTATGGGTGTTCCACCCTGTTAGCCACCCTGGTAGGCCTTGAAAGTACAAACTCCAGGATGTCATTGTGTCTCGTACAAGGAAACCCAAAGCTGGATACAGTACGCCAGATTTGGTCTCACAAGCACCAAATGGAGGGGAAGAATCACGACCCTTGACATGGCTGCACTCTTGCAAATACAGTCTGGGATGTGGTTGGGTGTCTTTATTGCAAGGGCACACTCCTGGCTCATGTGCATCTCACTGCCTTAAAAGGTCTTTTTTTTCTGCAAAACCGCTTTCTCGTCAGCCATTGCCCTCCTGTATTGTTGCACAGGGTTATTCCAGCTCCCATGCAGGACATTGCATCTTCCTGTGTTGATCTTCATGAGGTTTCATCCGTCCAGCTTGTCTAGACCCTGACTTCTGGCCTATTGACCACTCTCCCCGAATTTGGTATTGCCCAGAAACTTGCTGAGAACATACTTTGTCCCATCAGCCTTATTGGTAATAAAGATGTTAAACAGTATTGATGCCAGTATGAGTCCCTGAGGATGCAGCAGAGTTTGAAACACCAGTTTGCCTTAAAAGGTGCGGTTTTGGACTTACACTGTATTTAAGTGCTCTGATATATGCCCTGTATGTTAAGTCACTGAAGTTGCCTGGGACCGAAGTGGTCATCAGTAGTTTGTTCTCAGAAAAAAACAACAAAGTTGAAGCTTAGACCAGTACGAGCCATGTCTGAAAAGAGCAAAACTGCCACTGCCCACCCACGGAAGCCACAAAGAGTCCAAAGAGTGTGCATGGCAGCTGTCTGAAAAGACTGTAAGTTAGAGGAAGAGATGCATGCTTTGCCGAAACAGTTCAGCTGCTTTCCTCATCCCCTGATCGTTGCTTTAGTCAGCTGCAGGTTGAACTAACTTGTTCTCCAGTTTCTGCCTGAGACACCTTGTATCAGTATTTCTTAAATAGGATGAAATTATGTAAAAACTGAGTAAACATGTTCAGAATATTTTATACTGTCCTTCGGTGATAATGACTTCAGAACGTATGAGTGAGAATAAAATGAAGAGGAGTGTAGTCATCTTGTCCTCTTCAGCAAAAGTGTTACTGCTTAGAAAAACATCCTCGGGGATTTCTCTGAGGACAAAAAATTGCAAAAGGACAGTCCTAATTACTCTGATTAGCTGATTAGTCATAAGATGAGTCAGTCACTTGTGATCGGTGGTATTACCACAGAACTAGAGGACAAATGTGGTCACTATCAGCTGCCTATCTTCTGTTTTCCTGTTGATCAGCCACTCTGTAGTGTTGATGGCTTGCCCCTTTCTGTTTCTACTTGTCAGTTAAAATTCACTGTCACTGAGTGAAGGGTAAAACCTCTTCACTTGGAGGTGACTGTTCACTAATTAATGTTTAGATTTGGGCAGCTGAAATCATCTTTCAAGTGAACAAATATTTGCATTGTAAAAAGCACCCTGTAACTGTAGTAGGTAGCTGCTTAGGAAGTTCCTTGAGCTTTTCAACAACACGGCTGGAACATGTTGATTATGTGGGGCTAAGCAAATTTACATAGTTGTCTATGCTGTGCTATTATGTTGGGTAAGCAGCTGGCTTTATTCTGTAGGTTTTGAGCATTTTCATAGCAACACGTTCTGTTTCAAATACGTATTCAACACTTTGTGGGGGGAAAAAAAGAAGTAACAGTAATATCACTGTCAGAAGACAATTCTTCTGTAGTTGTGTATCCCTCATTGAGGATACATTTTCTCCTACCTACCTATGGTCGTAGGGTAATTTCATGTTTTCTATGGCCTTAACCTCACATAAAACATCCAGTTTCTCACTCAGTATTTATCAAGTTCTAAATTTCTGTGTCCCCTAGCTGTATTCTGGTAAGGTAGCTGGTCATAAACGGTATGCCTTGTTTGATCAGCTAGCTGATGAGACACAACAGACCAGGCTGAACTCAAATTACAGAATTTAAGTGGTGTTTACTTGGTGTTCAGTGTTCTGAGTGGCCATAGTGTCCATTTCTTGTTGTCATGCCATTGTTCCCCCCTGGTTTTAGGAACTTGGTGTCTTAAAGATGCCTATCAAGTGTAGGTTTAATTAGTCAGGTTTTTAAATTATTGTAGGGGAAATTGATAGACATGGCCAGGAGTTGCTTAAAGAGTAACTAATATTTTTCACAGTAAAATTGAGGAAGTCAACTTAACTGTAGATACATTTTTATCAAGATTCTTTCCTCTTAAAAATATATAAAATTTAGTATTAGAAATTTTAAAAAAAATCAGATAGCTTCTAGTTAAAATATACAGATGCAAGCATATATCTCAATTTTCTGAGAGATTTAATAAATCATACAAAGAGTGGACTTTAAGAGAATTAATTTTTAGAATGACAGTATATCGTCTGTATTGGTTGCATCAGACCCAACTGTTCTTTAATGTTGTAACTTATTAATAATAGCAGGCGTTTTCATATATTCAGTGTAGTGTCTATTCTATTTGTGCAGTGTAAACAGTGTTCAGTAACTTACCTAAGCTTTTAAGTTCTGGTTACTTTTCCAAAAGATTCCTCTTTATTTCAGCCAGGAGGAAATTATTGGAGCTTGTTTTGTCTTCTGGTGTCGTCTGCTGAAGTTTGCCAGAGAAAGTTGTCGTCGTCTTAGGCAGCTGGCATGAGGTGGTACAGAGAGGAAGAAGGGTGATCAAGGAGCCACATCTATGGTTTTGATTAGCATTCAGTTGTTGGATTTGATCTGAGTCTTGTTCAGTTGTTCATTTTTATATGGCTCCCTAATTCTTGGTCAGCTGATGGTTACAGGAAGAAGTTTACCCAAAATCTGCAAGCTGAAAGGGGCAATAAACGATTCCTGCACACAGAATTGGGATAATGTAAATCACTGCAAACTCTTTCGCAGAGGTGACTAGTACAGACTTCTCTCTTTTATGCTTCTGTCACCACATGTATTTCAGGAAAATGCAAGGGGATTTTGGACTGAAAAGTGCAAAGTATTGAACACATCTATGCAAGGATGAAACAAAGGCTTGCATCTCAATTTTTTTGTAACTTTCATTATTTGGCAAGAGCCTTGTTTCACCTCATTTCATGTTTTGGTCTTTTTAAATGGCAAATCAAACCCAACCTTTTCTGTCTCCAGGTCTCCTGCAAGCGCAGAATCTCTTAACGCAACTACCTCAGCAAAGCCAAGCCAACCTCCTGCAGTCTCAGCCAAGCATCACCCTTGCCTCGCAGGTCAGGCTTACTTCTATTCCTGAGTTCCTGAGTTGCTTTAAGGGGATTTGTATTAGGCACTGGAGTAGATATTGTAGCAGTAATAGCGAGCATGTCTTTCTAGAGAGATTCAGTCTAGAGCTTAAGTATCAGTAACTTCAGTTTTGTAGTTTTCACTCGAATGTGCATGCATTTTCATGCATTTAACATTCTGAATTTTTATTTTTAGCTGAACATTTCCATGATTGATATCTTGAGTTAATGGCACTAGAGTGTGATCTGATTTCTTGTAAGGCTTTCTTGAACAATCTACAAATCTGTGAAATTCAAAGGAGCAAGGTGTGGGCTATCTGAAAAGCTCAAAAAGAACATTACCAACTGTCTTTTTTTCTAAAAACTGCAGTGGTAATCTATCTTTATTGTAGCCTACTTGTTTTGGTATTATTGCTAAGTCATTGCCAGTCTTATTAGATATCTTCTGTGAAAGTGAAGAGATTGTTGGAAGTGCATTAAAATATTCTGCTAGATACATGTTAAAATATTAAAGCTCTATGATTAAGTTTCGAGACTGTAAGAAAAGCAATTTTAAGGTTGCACGTGCCTGCAAATTTAATTTTGCTTCATTCTGGGTTTTAGTATGCAGTTTCGTTACATGACTGCATGCTGTTTCTCAAATACCATGAAATACCATATGGTATCTTCCTGCCAACTTGGTTATATATAAGAATTTTTTTAGTCTGTAATAAGATGCTTGAGTCCATCAGTCTTTAAAAACTACATTTTCTATTGTGCCACCTATAGTATTTTTAATGCACCATGTGGAACATGGAATTTGTCTCACCTCTGTAGTTCATACCTCAGTTAGCAGCATGACTCCCTACTAAAGATTACACTTGGAGTAAAAAAAAGTATCAAAACTACAAAAAGAAAATAAATTATATAAAGGAGGTGAAGTTGGTAAAGACATAGTGCAGTAATTATCCACAATGTTTAATGTAAAAAAAAAAAATATTAAGAACCTTTACAGTGTGACACACGCACATCTGCAATCCTAGAAGGATCATATATGGTCACGTTATTTCTCAAGTAACAGAATTACAGATCCTGACCTCCCTCTACCATCTGCTGTGCACTGCAAAATACTGCACTAACCCAGGAGAAAAACAACATAAGGAGCTATGCAAAGGCTCAGCTGTATGTAGGCCATTTCTTTTAGAACAGCTGTTTCTGGACCTTTGCATAGACTTTGCATAGTATTGTAATGTTGCATAGACCTGAGGCTGCTCTTGTTTGCCCCAAGGAGCAAATTTTCAGAACTGGGCGTAGGACATAAAAGCGTGAAGTCGCCTTTACTTAAAAGCCTCAGCTGAACTGAATAGTATTTAACTAGAGTAAACAATTTGTCTCTACATCTCAAGGAGGTAGAGTTATGCACTCAAAACACGTTTCCGGTGTTTCTGTTGTTCTTAAAGCCTGAACTGTGCAACACCAGATCTTAATATCTTTTGTTCACTTGTGAATATTTTCCATGATGCTCAAATTCTTTTCAGATTCTCACTATAGCTGTGTAGCAATAGTGCTCTAGTATGCCCAGCATCCAAGAATAGTGAACCTTGTGTGGACTTCCTGGAAAATTAGCCTTTTATATAGAAGAAAAATGTGACCTAAAAAGAATTACTTTCTGCAAGTTGCCTTTGCTTAATTTCTCATATCACCAGTACATTCATTCTTAACATCAGCAGAAGGGTTAGAGGGGGATCTGTTTTATTTCTTACTGGCAGATTTCAGTCAATCACAAGAGGTGGCATTAGAGGGAACTTGCCGTGTTTGCTGCCCCTGTGTGTGCTCGCTGCTCCAAGATTAAATAGGAGACTTGAATATTTTGGGCTGATGACAATCTGCCACCTCACACAAGCAGTAAATTCAGATTTGAAATGTTTAAAAGGGGATGAATGCCAAGCTGTCTATAAATGATAGAACTATATCAAGCAAGAGTGTTCAGCCTGTCTTTGAGCAGCCTCTGTAGCAAGCGGAAGTTCTTGGTTGTCTGCTGCACTGAACATCTCTTACTTTTCTTTAATTGGTTCTGACAGAGCCTTTAAAAGGCTGTCATACTAATAGAGTTTTCTGCATGGTGATTGCTGGTTCTTGAGAGGAATCTAAATAAATTGGAGGAACTTTCAGATTGCTGAAAATGCCAGATTCATTGATCTTTCTCACAGAAACATCACATTTCTTTTCTGAATTTAATTTTTGCCGATTATTCTTTTAAGTCTGATTTTCATCTTTTCCTCGCCCTCTGTCTTAATAGCCAGCAACCCCAACACGCACAATAGCAGCGACCCCCATTCAGCCACTTCCACAGAGCCAGTCAACACCAAAGCGAATCGACACTCCCAGCTTGGAGGAGCCCAGTGACCTTGAGGAGCTTGAGCAGTTTGCCAAGACTTTCAAACAAAGACGGATCAAACTTGGATTCACTCAGGTGAGACTGCGTACCTTACTGCCTGCCAGTGTGGATTCTGAGGTCTCATCTTTCAAGTCTGGAGGGAGACTACAATTCCACCTTTTCCTGGGAGAACCTTCTTAAATAGGGTTATGCTCTGGCCTTTATGTAGGGGATTTCTAAGAAATGACAGAAAAAGCCATACATCTATCTTACTTCCCTGTTGGTTTTAAAGCATAGCCATTTTCCCAGCAGGTACGTGCATTTACCAGCTCCCGATGTCATTGCGTGTGCTCTATTCATTCTATGGGATGTAAAATGAATGGGTCAAAGCACTTTAAAGCTCCCTTCAGAAGTACAAAGTTCCAAAAATCATACAGCACAATTAACTGCTCGGTGTGTCTAAAAAGTGTGTCACAACTGTGGAGTTGCTTTGGATGTCAAAGGGTTTTTATCTCTCAAGCGTATTTTCCTATTAAACATCAATGCTTTCTGTATTTAATGCTTTTGCTAAGGTTCCTAAACAAAACCTGAAAGGACTGTCGTTTTGAAGCTCTTTCCTTACAGAGGTGAACTGGAGTTGTGGTTTGTTTTGGTTTGCTTAAAAGCTCAGAAGTACCCATAGAGCAGAAGGAAAGTAATTTTGAACATAGTGAAAGTGGTTGAACGAGGAGTACAATTAAAAGTACAAAGTGCCTTTATATTTTCCATTATTCTGTTGAAGGGAAATGTTGCTTAGATCCAAGAGTCCATTTTTATTAATATAAAAATGATTTTTTTCCCCACAAAGTTAAGATGTCTGTCCAGGTAAACAATTACTTTTGGCAAGAGTCTGTGGTAAGCATAGGCATGTTTTTGCTAGAGGAAATAGCGTGCAACAATCAAAGTAGGTATTTAAAAGTCTGCGCTCAGAGTCAATCCAACACATGTGATTTGGTCCCTGCCTTGGAATAAGTAAATCTATGCTAGCTGCGTGTATGTGCTGAAGTCAGATCTGTTTTTCTGGCAAAGTCCAAAGTGTTTGAAAAATCAGAGTTCATAATGAAAGTTCCTGGCAGCAACTTAATTATAACTCAAGAACAGAATGTTCTTGGTAATGAAGTGCATTTTGCTGGCATGTGTGCCTCTTTACCTCCCTTCTTTCCACTAGAGGGAGGCACAGAAATACAAGTGATGGACACACACAAAAGCTGGAATGGAGCAGAACAGAACAGAGTAAAATACAATAGCTTCCCTATAGGCTGACTGAGGAGATCTTTAGTTATTATGTTTAATCTGCCCTGCTGTGAGATGACTATAAACGCTCAACTAGACTTTTTAAGTTATGGGTTAACCCTTCTTTATTGACTCTGTCGAGAATTTTCATGGTAAGGAAAAATGAACTCAACTGCTCAGGCTTGCATTTCAGTATTTGCTTCTGAGCTTTTAAAGAAGGGAATCTTGAGAAAGTGATAAAATTGCATTTGATCATTTCTATCCTACTCTGAGCTTGTATGTGTATAATTAGGCAGTTCTAATAACTTCTACCTAATTGCATAATTGGATGATAATTAGAGGCCCCTATTACTTCAGTTTCCTGTCGTAGGATAAATAGACTGCCTTTCAAATGATAAATTTATTTCCAGTGGTGCTATAAGCTTTTTCAGACTCGCACCATCCCTGCCTTTCAAAAATAATTGTAAGGCTTAGTTTGCATTGCAAAGTAATCACTTTTACTACATTCTGTCTTGTGAGCAATAAAACAGGTTTTGAACTTCAGCAGTTCTGTCTCTTCTCCGCTTTGAAGAGTGGGTGATGGATTTAAATACTTTTGTTTAATTATTTTTGTTTTTTTTTTTAATAGCTCCATGTTTCACATACAGAGACACAATAAGCACGCTGCATCTTAGCATTATTGCAGGTATGAGACTAATTGGTCCATACAGATTCAAGCTACATCAGGAAACACTTTAGACAATGTTATTTTTAGTCTGTAAAAGGTATTCTTCTGTTACTCCATCTGAGCTTCTTAACAGAGCAGTACTCACAACAATGACATACCTTATGAGAAGTTTCAGTACAGTACTGGAGCTTTATTCAGCCTACAGAGTAGATCAGGTGTGTGCTGTACCTTTATCCTCTGTTCCATCCATCCTTTCAGTTGCCCACCCCAGTATATAAAATTTTCATCCCAATGTGCAAATTCCTTTGCCTACCACTGAAATGCTGCCACCTTTTGACATTGAAAACTACTGATCGAGAAGTGGTTAACTATTCATTTTAAATCGGATGGCAAATGTTAGTAGGAACAACATAAATACCAGAATTAAATTTAGTCAGGGGATTGGAACAAATTTTATAACTCCTTCCTTCCAAGACATAAATCAACTTATCTCTAAAATGGTTTAAGTAGCCAGGTTTTCTTCTTTATAAACCCACTAGAGCATCCATGGTACTTCACTTGAAATTATTTATGTTTTATAAAATGCATAGAATCCTGGCATATGAGTAGAAGGTTCCCACATGTGAGTTCCCACATGCTTGCTCTGATTGATGGGCATACAAACCAATTGTTCTGGGCCTCTTCTAGGAAGGAAATTGTTTTCTTGACACAACCTGCACAATTTGCTAAGCTTACTGAAGGTTGTTTTCTTCCTCGCTTGGATGTGGCCACTCTGCATGCTGTTAGTGTACTCGTATCAAGCTGTGGTTGTGTATCTGACCTAAAAGGAAAGCAAGCAAGCTTCACACACGATTCAACTAACCCACCTGCAATTAAACTGCACTAACTATGCTCAAGCTTTTAAGTCTGTTCCTCTAGACTCTCCATGCTTTTGGTGTTAATGAATAAAAATCTAAACTAAATGGCTTTGGACCAAATAGAATACTAAAAAAAATAATTACTTTTTTTTAAAGGGGAGGGCTTTCCAGCTTTAAAACAAAACATGATGGTGTTTTTAATGGCAACAGTCAAGAATGGATTTTTTTTAGCAGGACTTTCCAAGTGTAAACTACCTAGAGATGCATATATACATATAAAGATAAACAGAATGTCCACTAGCTAGCTAAAACTGAGTTTTGAAAAGCAGTAACAGATGTAGAGGTGATCATCTGTCTGTAAATCTCCTGGATAGCTTTTCGGCAGACGGGTAATGGTAGTGAAGACTACAGTTAAATTATTAGTCGAAATGATTCAACTTCCTGTCTGCTTTGAAGTGTGTATGTGTGGGGAGAAGTTTGGTTTGAACCTCAGAAGTTACTAAAAGTTCAGATAAGAATATTTTTGCATCTATTCAAATGTGATACATGTTTGCAGACATGTTCTCAAGAGCGTTTTCTGCTAATTTGAGAACATTAATTCACTGCATTGCTGCTTATTTGAACTTTTCTTCTTCGGTGCGAAATATGCAGATACTTAAATCTGCTCCTAAAGAGAGCTTGGCCTTTATTTATTTTAAAGAACCAAGAAAAAAAAAATACAAGTTAGTACTCAGTGGAATGCTCTGCTCAGTGATAATGTTATGAAGACAAAGCATCA